ATCCAAGCCCTGTAAAAGTTTTCTACAATAAAAAAGTTTGGAAGCAATAGTCGACGAACACAGTTACTGCCAGTGGAAAGTCTAAAGAACCCGTGTGCTTTTTAACAATGTAATGTGAACGATGACCTATTTTACTGAGATATATTTAATTGAAAAACAATTCCTCCCTTGGTAGCAAAGGTTTATTCACAGAAGAAGGGAATTAATTTTGGTCTGTCTGTGCGTCCGTATGTCTGTATTGCTGTCTGTTTTTGAATTTAACTGATTCAAAGAACCCATATCCTCATCGACAATATACCTTGCGCTCCTGATTCTCTTGTCTGCAGCTACTGCATGAATTTTAATTAAAACCACTTGGAAGACAGTAATTTATTCTTTCTATATTATGCACGCGCACCGTTGATTAACAGTAATTTAAGCGCAAGGTAATAATGCCGGCGTCTGTCAAAATTAACAAGCAAGTCTATTGACAAGAAAGCGACAAGGCCACAGAGCTTACAAATTATTTTGCCAAATGGTTGCGGTCATATGCTAAATCTTGCAAAAGCCAAGACATTCATCAAGGCGTTGTTACTATCAGAGCTCTCCAATACGCTGAAAATTGAATTTGGTATTTTCAGAGGTTTTCAGTATCGAATTTAGCAAATAGAAATGAAAAAGGTTTGAATTGATAATGAAATATCGACCGTCAGCTGATTGATATGGGAGAACAGCGAATGTTACCGAGTTTTATTTTATATAGAGAGGAGAAAGAGGGTTTGACCCTTTCGTCATTAAGATAAAGAAAAATGTAAAATTTATGTCTCGAGGAGAAAAAAAATGAAATAAAAAGACAATGAATTATTTATTCAAAATATTATTTGTTGCGAAAAGAAATTCTTTGTTAAAATAAGGTAAAAATGCACAGTCTGCAAGAAGAAAAATGAAATATTTCTCATTGTCGTTAGTGGTCGACCAAGAAAAGTACACATATTAACAAGTGTTAACAAGAATTCCATTTGTTAGAATTCTTACTGAAAAATACAATTGTACTTTCTATTTTATGAGTTTAGCAAACTATTAATATTATGTCTTAACAGAAATTTATGTTATAAGGAAATGAATATTTTCAGTACCTTTTTTGTCATTTTTTCCTCGTTGTCCTATTAGTATCAAATAATTTTACAGAATAAACAAATGAACAGATGAATATTGGAAATTTTAAATGACTTTATTTGGGATTCAATATAAGCTCAAATATGATTAATTTTAATATTTAGAATTTCAAAGGAAATAACTTCTTATTTCTTTTAAAAAACCCAAAACAAAAACCATAAAATTGTTTCAACGAATGCAGTTTATTGTCATATGCAGATAAAAGAAAAGTAAGCTCAATGAGTAAATTAAGAACACTACAGAAAAAAGCTTTTCCCCATATAAATATTCTACAGGATGGCGCAAACCAAAATATTTTTAAGTCACTGGAATTTTTCCGAAAAAGGAGAGAATCTCTTCCTCTTAATTTGTCTTAGAGATCAAGAAAATCATTTTAAAATTTATAAATGGAATCATAAATGCTTGTCATGTTGCACTAGTATCGAACGGAAGGCATAACTACAATCTTAAGGAAACTCAATTGCAAATGCTTGTCTAAGCTTGCAGAATTTGAATGTTTTCATTAATATTCAATATGTCCCCTTTTCCATATTTCAATAGTATGTTGATAATTTAAGAATGATAAAACTGAAATAATTCCTTAATATTAACTTTTCATTCATTTAAAGATTTGATTGACTAAGTTTCCTTCATTAAAATCAGACAGTGAATGATTTATGAAAGTACGAATTTTTCATATCTTAATTAAAACGATGAATAAAAAATCAAACACACTTGCAAAACTAATATTACGGGATATAGGCATAATAATTCGCCATACGAATTTGAGGAGCAAAATAGTTGCACCCTAGTAGAAAAATGTGCATTCTCATTCTAAAATCTTCTAATCATTATGATCCTTACTTAATTTATAAACAAACAATATACTTGTATCTTGATATGAGAAACCAGTTGTCCTAACTGTAACACTAAACAGCAAAACTACCAGCAAGAGATATAAGTCTGTAGTCAATGAATCATTTGAATCCCATATTTCATAAAAACTAATGAACAATAAAATTATATGACAAAAATCTAATGATTATCTTTCAATGCCCTTGAGGATCCTGTAAATAGAAGTAAATACTGGCTTCTCTCTGACTGTCATTGAAGAATGTAGGTCACCTACTAACTATTTTATTATTTTAATTGTTCTTTGTTTTTTTGTTTGTTTGCATATTTGGACGCCATCACTTACTGCTGGGCTTCAACGGAGGGATAAACTTGCACTCGGCATTTACTACCTTAGAGCAGAAAGAAATTATTTTCATGCCAGGACCTGGTAGGACCTGGCTCAGTGTCCATAAAACTTGGATGAACTCACTTATGTTCAAAGTCTCACTTTCACGAGATGACCTAAACATTACAATCGTCAACTACCCTTACTTATGCAGCAATATACCTTCATCATCTGCATACGGAGTATATATCTCTCAGTTGATTCGATACGCAATTGTCTACGTATGTTCAGTTTCTAAAACGAGGTAAGCAATTAACAAACAAGTTGCTGAAACAAGAATATCAGCAGTTTCATATAATGTCATCATTTTGTAAATTCTATGGTCGATACAATGACCTTGTCACCAGATACAATTAATCAAGTCAAATGTAGAATTTTTTTTTCATACCAATTGTTGGTCATTATATACACACTGAATTGTCGACGAATTTTCACATGATTTCCCACTCATGACAAGGAGCACACTCCACGTGTAACCGGTCGGCAGGGGATGCTCACTTCTCCATGGCACCTGATACTATCTCTGATGTTTTGGAGTTCCGTGTTTGCGCTGCTCTGCTCCTATTTTGTATTGTTAATGGGCTTTTCAGCCTGAATACTGTTCGTTAACTCAATACATATATTGTATTTCATTTCACAAAAGGAATATAACGGAAAAAAAAGGACTTATGGAAATGTATGACTGAGATCAAAATTCAGCTAATCTCAGTTTTATGGGCCCTTAGCCCGTTTTTACGTCTTTATCCAAAGGAGCGTCTTCGCGTTCTGCAGTGGAATTTGACTCCACAATTCTAAAGAAAACTCTAACCACTGCTGCTTTGTGTTTAGAGTTAAAACAAGGGCCTTTGTACCATATTTCGCCTGCGTAGCACAACGTTAAGAACATTTCAAAAGAAGAGAGTTAATCAGTAAGAATCTAAAGCAGCACTTGGTCTCCAATCCATTTGAAGAAAATTGGTCTATATTACAGTAGGAGCTGATAAAAAAAATTCCTCAATGCTTCATTGCCAAAAGTGTCAAGTGCTAGCTCTATGTTGAATTATATCACACCTCCAAAAATGCAAAAGACAATCTTAGGTGTCCAAACCTAATCTTTTTCAAAATTATCTTTATTTTATATTTAGATACCGGTATTTTACCAGAAAGAACTCGTTAATAGTAACAAAATAAAAACAACCCGATGACTTAAGCTTTCTTTTGTCAACTTCCCTTACTAATGTAGTAATATATACTTTATCACCTGCATTTCTCCCATGTGACTCGATGCGCAAGAGTATGCTCTTATTTAAAACAATTCAACAGGATAAACTATCAATGAAACAAGGATATATCAACAGGCTTTTCCAATGCCAACATTTCGAACATTTTATGCTTAAAACCATGACCTTTTCACCAAAAATCTATCATTAAGTCGAAAGCTTAATGGCGTTTTCCATCGTAAGCCTAATTATTCAAAGAGCACGGGAGGTTTGTGAGCAGTCCAAAGATGAAGCTTTCGCTCTCTCTTTAAAACAATTCAACAAGATAAACTATCAATGAAAATTTTATATATCAACATTTTCTCTGCCAAATTCATTATTTCATTACTTTTATGTTAAAACTTTACGTTATCTCAATATTTCACGTATTTACACACCCTCACAACGTCAGAGGTCCTGAGTAAACGTTAGGATGGTATTTACCATTACAAAGTTAATGTTAGAAGAAATGTAATTTCAAGGCAATTTCTGATAATTTTAAAGATCCACATTGTCTCTGCTCCAAATTCTGATTCCACAGTAAGCTATGAAATATCGGTCACGTGAAACCTCGAGAAATAAGAAATCAGAAAGATCAGCGAAAAACACGAACTGATCTTCATGTTCTTGTGAAAACTTCAAAACTCAAAGAAGGACACATAAACAGTATACCCCGTTCTTAACAATATAAATGCTTACAAATCAAGTGTTTTTACAATTATTTTAATAAAGTCAAATATAAATATGCCATAAATTCTATCACGTGTGTTTAATATATCTGAAAGTCATATGGATAGGTAAAAAACAATACGATCCTTACAAAAATTAAGCCTTGTACGTAGAAGTGTATAAAACACAATAAGAACACAAGAGGATATAATTAGATACAAGAAAACCTAGCCAATGGAATTTCCCCGTGCTAAACTTGCCTAGATTGATAATTGTGTAAAACGAATTCAGGTAACAGTCTATTTCGTTCCAACATTAATATTAAGGCGGAGTGACGTTATGTTAACATCAGTCATAGTTTTTTGTCTCATGAAAAAGCCGGGGCGCTGTTACCTCATAAAGGCGGTATTCATAAGACAGAAGTGATAGTAACATAAACAAATAATAATAGTTATATTTGTAAACTTTAAGATGTTTAGACCATGCTGATGTTAATATAAACAGTGCTACTTATATTTATTAAGGTTCGTCCTGAGATAGGTTCAAAATTTTTGTAAGGAAATATATTTTAAGTAAGTATATTGCAAAAGCTGGTAACTTTATAAAAGAATATTCACTTTAATTTTTTTTTGAAAATTTTGTCCTATTTACTCCTGCAGAAAATTTCCGGAAAAAAGTTTATATTCAGTATCAGGTTTTTTTTAATTCACTTGTTGTTGAAAACATAGTTTTGCCTGCTCAGTCCCTTTTCATTAACGCTTTCAACCATAGAAAGACACAGAAGTAGAAGGAAATTGGCAATAAACCTATTGATGGCTCATCAATTTAATATATTTCGTGTTCTAAAAGAGCTTACAATTAATTAAAAAAATATCATTTGTGAATCTCTTGAGTCATCACTAATTCTGGCAGGCCATTTGACGGTTCTTAGTAGCTATTAGATAAAAAAGCATTAATCATTTTAAACTTTTACTTACATTGATGAATAATTCATCGTAAATAAGTACTATAATTATATTTAATGAAAGCTAATTAAAACTTCAGGATATTTAACATCCTTGATCCAAGCTTACACCAAAACATTACTAATGCGCGGTGTTAGGTTAACAACTGGCTATTGAGGATGTGGATAAAATTCCAAGAACATGCAGTCATTAAATATAAGAGTCATGATGCATCTTAACTAACGTTAAAGTTTCCGAGGTTACGTATAATTCTGACATATTGGATAGCATATCGTGTCATTCATAATAGTCATTTGTGATTCAAAACATGGAAAACAAATTTCAATTTTATTGAAATACAAGCAAAAGTGAAGGGAAACAAGACCCTTAAACATTTAAATATTGCAAAGGTTACAAGTTTATGACTGTATGTTGTGTACATTAATTATCACAGAATAAATTGTGCATAGATATGTATTAAAAAACAAGCCATGCTCACACATTAAAAAGCAAGGTTAACCATTAAAAGATTGAAGAACAGAACTTTGTCGATTCCCAATCCTTCTTAAGCAGTTGTATATATAATATGATAATAAACTACAACCTAATAATTAAAATTTAATGATCAATGGACATAAATTTTAGATCACAGACACCTTTAAGCGCCACCAAGACTGCACGCGTTTTAAGGGAGATGAGGTTGGAATCAGGTCCGGAAGTTTCCTCTTTTCCGGAAGTGATGCTGTTTTCCTGACTCTTGATTGATATGTGTAATCACTGTCCGTGAAGGCAGCGTTGAGTCTGTCCCAAACGAACACACGGAGTTCCCTTTTGTAATAGTCACATGACGTGGTGAATCGAATCACAGCTGGAACCTCTGTTTGATCCAGTCGAATAGGTATAACTTTTCTTCTACGGGCACCTGCTCAGAAACAAAGTCCTATGCTATGAATTGTATTCAGGGATATCAATCATTTTAGTCTGATATATTACATCATCATTAAACATCAAAAGAAAATGTAGTAATTCTAATAAATCAAATTACTGTTAAACCTTAAAATGTTCAAAGTATAATTACCTGGTGACATAGAATGGGCGACTTTAAGATGAAAATGGAATAAATCGCTCTCTAGCGAAGCAGCTGATATCACAACTAGTACCTTTTTACATCTAAAACAATTAAAAAGTCCTTGTTAAATGATGCATTATCGAAGGATATCAAAGAAACACTTTCGTATTGGAATTAAGGAGCACCTTAAAAGCTGTTTATGAGAGAAATAATTTTACCTCTTTTCTATACTTTCTGCTGTGGCCACTGCTTCTAGAGATTCCTCCGTGGTATCAGACCAGGGTACATAGAGTCTGAGGTTATAGGGCGGGGACGTGAGCACTCGGGTCATAAGGTCAACAAATCGCTGATCCTCTCCGTAAGGACTGTATATCACAAAGGCATCGTATTCAAAGTCATCCATTTTAACACTGGAAATATAATTGGCAAATCTATATTGATGTGAACTCAAAAGGAACCATACTTCAATGCAATGACCTACTGAAACAATTTTAATTAAGTTAATTTCTCGAGTCATTTTTCATCTCTTGTCGCAAAAGGAACTTAATTTACATTCAAATGTTTATTTTACTAATTTAGCATGATTTATTTATCTTTTTTTTTACAGCATAAAATCTCACCTACTTAAATGTAAAATTTCTTGCAAGGAAAATATATTAAAATATATTTAAATTTTAAAAAAATTAAACAGCTTTGATATTAGCATCACATAGTGAATATGTTACGTACATTTATAAAACACAAGATGCATATTAAAAAGTTAGTCGTGAAAGCTTACCATAAATCTCGCTCTGCAAAAACATTCAACAATAAATCCACTCACTCATTGCAATAACACTTATATAACATATAGATTACGAATTTTAAGTGTTTGAATAAAAAATTATAAACTCATCTTCGGAAAATATAAAGTCAATGAAAATATCAACACTAAGGCCAATGATTTACAAGGTGAGAGTTCACCGCGGACCAATCAGAAATCTTCTATGACGGAATACATTATTGATAGTGCGGTTCGGCGGTTTCGCTATAGAAATATTCAATGGGATGTTTCCGTATAAGTTGTGAATGAGCTGGTTTATTAAACATGGTAGTACATTTTCCGATATGCACTTTCCAAAAGAGGAGTGCATGTTTGTTTCATACAACGAGGAAAATTAATCTTTACATTTACATCGATCGCTGTACAAGTGCGGATATTGTTAAATTGGAAAAAGCAGGAAATATTTGGTCTGAGCACTTAGTCTAGTACTGTGTTGTGTATTTCATTGGTTTTCATCGTGTTGTTTCATAGTACATGTATAAGGTGAAGTTTTATGTACATGAACTCTGGCATGAGTACAATTGTGAAGTTTTGACGCAAATATTTCAAAGATACCAATTTCTTTAAGCCATTAATTTTTTTTATGACTGTACAATTAACTTTACAAAATAAGAAGAAACTGTTGAAGTAAATTTCCGATAACTTAACTTTTATTTTTACAACAAAATTGCAATGTTCTGAACGGAAAAAATGGTATAAAGGACCATTTTATATTACACATTTCAACAACATCGTTGAACAAGATTAAATACACAATGCTTGTCTATACGTTTTGTTATAAGTATGGTGGCTCATTTCTGCTATTCACTTAACTTCCAGTCAATAAAGATATTTGTTGAAGTTGCCGTTCAGATTATGATTGAGAGTCAAATCATTGAAACTTCTTAGGACAGGATGGCATAGCTTACTTAATATGAGAAGAAAATCCTCATTTTAATTTGATAAAAAAGTTCATTTAGCCAGTTACTTTTTGTCAAAATAGATACGAATCATATTCGATTTGTCTGTTCAGCCACTATGACATGTTATATCACATACTCGGAGATTGAACATTGTGGTTGACGATACGGTATACGATGGAGAATTTGTTCTTGAAACAGGTAAAGAAGAGAGAGGAACATAATCTATAGATGCACAAATAAAACAATAAAATTTTACTTCTTTATTAAACACCAAAGATGTACACAGTCAAGTTTTTACAAAACATTGAAATGGTAACTAAAGATCCCCCTTTTTGAAAAAAAAACCCACAAATTTTCCTCCTCCAAAATAGAACATTTCAGAGGGACACTGGGAAAGAATGTTCATGAAAACACATAAAAATAAGAATTCAAACTTTTCTATCCCAAACGTTCAATTGATTCAACTTGACTTTTCCCCTTCGATGTGGAACCTGTCAAATGCTGTCTGACCAAAAATTGATTGTTTGTATGTACATGTACTTTGTTTAACGCCCCATTAGAGAATTTTTCACTCATGTTGAGATGTCACCGGTGAAGGGCTTCAAATTTTGACCTTTACTGGGTACTCAGGGCCATTGAGCAGTGAAGGATTTTAACCGTGCAAATGCCTGTGCAGTGACACGGGTTCTCGAATTTCAAAAGTATCATCCGAAAGACCCGCAACTTTCACTTCAACGTGCCGAGCGCATGTTGAAGAAACAATTGCTACTTTTTTTTTATCGACTTCGGTCAGTCGCGGCCGAGATTCGAGCTCACGACCTCGATCACGGAATGAGTACTCTACCCACTCTGACCAAATGTAAGGTGAACAGCAGCTCACTTAATGCATTGAACTTTTGTTAAAATACACCAACATTATCCCGTCGAGTCTAGATTGTTCTAATTACTTTTCACTATGACAGTAACATACCTTGACTTGACCTGCTAAACATGTACATTGTACATTAGATAGTGAGTTTATGTCTACATAATATGAAATGTTTGTTGGTTTGTTGAGATTCACGTAGTTATCACAATTATATATATTACCGGTAATATTTACATTTGCAAATGTTTTCCTTTATATAACACTACTGAAAGCAAGCGTTTTTATAACTGTATTTTGTTATACAGGATACTCTTAGTAGGATTAAGGAATCAATAAGTAATTTATTTAGGTCATAAAAATGTTCGTATAAAATCGGATAAACGTAATTATAATTTCGTAATTTTTCTGTTTGACGTCATATAGAAAGCCCAGAAGGCTCATTCGAGATTCAAGCGCGGTCAGTGGATTACACACATGCAAAATGGGTTTGAACATTAATGCATTTTTACACACGTTAAATATTTACAATGTGTCATTTGCTAAAATTAATAAAAAAAACGTTTTATGTATTAAAACGAAATAAAAATAAAATTTGGATTGCATTTTGAAAAATACATATATAATCTTATTTTTCTCATTAAACAAAATAGTAAATACGTATATATGGAATATTATATTGTCTTATCGTTGACTTGCGGATTTATGTCGACTTTTTAAAACAGATCATTACTGAGGGAGAATACTAGTATTGTATTGACTATAATTAGATATGAAATATTATGAATCGTTTCTACACTGCACAGTAATTCAATGGTTTATATTTCATTACATTTAAAAATGATACCTTATTTAGCGTTATATTATTATACTGATGACCTTTGGTAATTGGATGGCATATAAAACTATAACGCTAAATTTTAAAAACATATATAAAAATCCCTTCAACCTGCAGGAGTGAGGACAAAATCTTGTAATGTAAGAATCTTTAAATTTTGTTATACTGCAAGATGTTTTTCTCTTATTTGGGAAAACTGGGCAGGATGGGGTAAGGAATCTTTAGACACTTGACACTTATTTATAACTTATTTATATGTAATCAACCCCATCAAAGAGTAGAAAATGCAAAAATTTATATATAACCATAATTTAAATAGGTAAAAAACATAATATTAATTGACCTATATCATAAAAAAATTCAATGATTAATTTTTTTTTTTTTTTTGCACACTTAGCAATAAGTAATTATAATTTCTTTAATTTTGACTCAGATGTTTGAGTCATGTAGTCTTTATATTTTTCATTATAATACTTCAGAATGACGGAATGTTGGGTCTCTATATCGGTTCTCCCATGTGAAGGCACTTTTTTTCTCTACTAGCAGGTTCATTGTCTTTGAACAAATATAAGATATAAAACTTATTTTCTTTACCCAATAAAAGATATTTTGTTATGCAGATAATAGTACAGCAGCCACAAACATGTGATGCGACGTTACTTGCAAGTTAATATCAAAGAACATTTTGGAAGAATATTTTTAAATGTAATTTTTCATTTCAAAATGACAAGTATGGCTTCTTAATTCGCTGCCCTATATAATGATGATTAATGATACCTTTGTCTGCTCATGTAAGGAGTTTCTTTTTCTAGGAAAAAATAGGGAATTGAAAAAGAAAACTTTCTTTACCCAATAAAAGATATATCTTAGGACAAATAAATATTTATAGCACAAAAATACACAACAACTAAGTAGCATATGATGTAATTTCTCATTAATTAAGGCATTGTTATAGTTAGGCATAATGATTTCTGCGTAATTTGTACATGTAACAGTGCAACTTTTATTGTTGCAACTCACTTCAAATGATTTTTTTTAATCCAATTAAATCTTACTGAAGCCCAATAAATGGAATGCAAGCAACAAAAGCTGTGAGCTTGTGCTCTGATTAAAAGTATTTCAACATTCATTACTTTCTATTTGAAAACAATATGTAAAACTGTGTTAAATTTAAATTAGACGTGGCAATAAAATCCTCTGCATTGTTGATTTTAGGTCAGCGTCGAATAAATTTCCATTACAAATAATATAGAAAGACTTTTGTTATACTTAAGACAATTCAGTGGTTAATGCTATCTTACATAAAAATCTGCAAACGTTTAAAGAAGGGCGTTGGTTTTCCTGTTCAAGAAACGCTTTGGTTTTTCTAATTTCCACAATTGCTTTTTTTTGTTAAAGTTTTTGCAACAAACCATTAAGAAAAGTTAAGGTTAATGACCCAAAGAAACAAATATAACATTCCTAAATATTATATCTTGGTTTTTCCCTTTTGAAATATCATACGAATCTGTAAAAAGTTATAATGTATGGATATGCGAATTCGTTAACTTAATTCATAAAACTAACTTTTTAAGGATATGTTTTCAAAGGAAATCTTAAAACTAAATTTTATCAGATAAATATTAAAAAAAAAGAAATACATGTATCTTAAGGCTTTTTAAAGAAAAAACCCCATCTGTAAATCATGTAATTTTGAAGTAAAAATTAGCATGCCTTTGTTGAAAAATCTGAATTTCTTTATGAATGAAAATAGTAAAAACGCATCATAAATAATGTTCACAGCAAAGTATAATTTCAAAAGATGTTTTATGGTCCTCCGCATTTTCTTTAAATGAAACACCGAAGATTCTGTCTTTTCAGGTGTTCTTTTTCGATGAAAGTGTGCTGTGTGCTTTTCTTCAACTTTTGGAGTATGAAATTTTTTTTATATATAGAATGTACAAATTGTTGACATATTTGAAAATAGCATGAGCACGATTGATGGATGTAACCGCAAAGATTAGAATT